GTCAACCTCTAATGATTTCTGTCATGATATACACAACACATCAAAAACGAAAGAAAAAAACCCCCAGAAATACCTTTGAAACACTTCCTTATATTTCAAACAAACTCTGATGATCCTGAGCAGTTGAACTAAAAATAAACATCAAACAAGTCTAATATGGGCGACAGCTGATGTCCTGAAACTCAACATGAAACAGCATTCACTTCAGTATTGGGATGGTTGATAACTGAAAAAAAAGAAGTTTTAAGCCACTCAACTGACTAGACATACATGACTCGTTTCACTTAAGACAGTAAGAAACCACTTAGCAACCACATTGAACACCCCAGCAACTGCATAACAGCACATAAAAAAGTAACTTTACAGCAACACCCTGGCAACCATCCAAAAAATCCACAGCAACTATATCACAGTAGGGCTGTGCAAAAAATCGAATGTGATTTTCATGCGCATGTCGTCAGTAAAGCCGCTCCTGTGATTAGTAGTAAATCTCCAGCAGGTGCGTTCAGATGGAGCGGCATTTACTACACAGAGCCGTAGTTCATGAAAATCGCATTCGATTTTTTGCACAGCCCTATATCACAGCAAGCTAAAAACAGCCAGTAAGCATAGTAACCATATGACAATGCCCTGGAAACTGGCCAAAACACCCTAGCATCTGCATTACAGTAAATGAAAAGCAGTAACCACAGTAATTTTATAGCAATGCCCTGGCAACCACCCATGACACCATAGCAACTGCATAACAGCATGTTAAAACCAGCCAGTAAACCCAGTGACTTTATAGCAATGCCCTGGTAACCAATAAAAGCACGTTAAAAACAGCCGGTAACCATAGTAACTTTATAGCAAAGCCCTGGCAACCAATAACAGCATGTTAAAAACAGCCGGTATCCACAGTAACTATATAGCAAAGCCCTGGCAACCAATAACAGCATGTTAAAAACAGCCGGTATCCACAGTAACTATATAGCAATGCCCTGGCAACCAATAACTGCTCATTAAAAGCAGTCAGTAACCACGCTAACTTTATAGCAATGCCCTAGCAACCAATAACTGCTCATTAAAAGCAGTCAGTAACCACGCTAACTTGATAGCAATGCCCTGGCAACCAATAACAGCATGTTTAAAACAGCTGGTAACCACAGTAACTTTATTACTGTAATTTTATAACCACACTTGGATGGGTTAAATGCAGAGCACAAATTCTGAGTATGGGACACCATACTTGGCCACACGTCATTTTCACTTTCAGTAACTTTATAGCAATGCCCTGGCAACCAATAACAGCACGTTAAAAACAGCCACTAGCCACATAGCAATATATAACAGAATGTTAAAAACAACCAGTAACGAAGTAACAGCACCCTAAAACATACAGTAACCATAGTAACCATATAACAATGTACGGGCAACCACCCCCAGCGAGTTTTGCAGTCAAACAGCACTCAGATTAGCACCCTAAAACATACAGTAACCATAGTAACCATATAACAATGTATGGGCAACCACCCCCAGCGAGTTTTGCAGTCAAACAGCACTCAGATTATCTTCAGCAAATATGTAGCTGTGTAATGAGATTTTAAGAACACTAATAGATGAGTGATAGATGACGCTCCTAATGAGTCTCCTCAGCCTCCTCTAAGTTCATTTTGTTTCTTCTCAAAGTGTGAGAAGTTTTATCATCTTATCAATAAGTGCGTTTAGCATAAAGGCAGCGGTGCAGACGAATATCAGTTTTACAGAGGTTTTCTACTGCAGCTCTCTATTTCCACAGCTCTGAAGTGACTGAAATCAATTAACGTTTGACACTCGTGTTGTGTCTATTATACACCCTTCAGAAGATCAATAACAACAGTGCAACACGCTCAATAGGAGGGTTTGTTTGTAATATACAAGCATCAAGATCCCTTCTGTTCAGGTGGCCAGCATCACACATGGGAACTTCTCTGTTAAAAAAAAAAATACATTTTTGTGGTTTGGAACATTTTCACACGCAGCTTGACTCACTGTACTGCGTGTGGGGGACGACACGGAGCAAACGAACCAGAAAAACCTCCAAGTATCCTGAAATATACTGTCAAACGATCAATTAAAGGGATAATTCACCCAAAAATAAATTTGCTGTTAACCCTCAGGCCATCCAAAATGTAGGTAACTTTCCTTTAGCAGAACAGTAAAGAAGATTACTGATGAAACTGATGAAACCGTGGTCATTCATAAAATGCAAGTCAGTAACTGCTAGGGGTGTGCGATATATATCGTCTGCAATAATATCGTAATTGTTGTTTTAACGATGTGCGATTTGACATTATCGAGTATTTTGCAAAAACCATTCAAAACATCCCTACAGAGCGTAGTCTACTTGTGCGTGTGCGCATTTAGAGTGTGTTCTTTCACTGCATGATTCAGTCTATTATAATGCATTTAGAATGATCACAAATTCAAGACATGATGGCAGAAAATGTATATATTTATACCACTTCATATAGTTATTCAATTTCACACGAAGAGTGCCGTTTTTCTCCAAAAATTACCATGATTACAAATGTGACACTGAATTCAATAAACAATAAGTTAATTAAGAGACTTACGTTTTAGACACCATATTGCTTGTTTTTGCTCTATTTCGCCAACAAAAATCATTCCGAATACAGCCACAGTGCTGTTTTGTGTCTCTGAGCAACATGACGGTGTTTCGTTCTTGAATGAATCAACTGTTTAAATGATTCGGTTCAATC